CAGTTTCTGGAAAGCTCTGACCTTCACTGAGGAGAAGCCCTGAGAACAGGCAGACATCTGTCTGTGGCGAGCAGTGAGCCATCCAGAGCCTCTGCATTCACTCAGTGCCACCAGAACCCAGCTGCAGGCTGCAACTTGTAGTGCTGCCAGCTTCCTGCCCCTCCTCAGTCTGGCCGAGCACAGCTATAACGTGACAAACCACGACTTCCCTACAACCCCAGCAGCAAATAAGAAGACACACTCACCCATTCCACTCAGAATTCTGTTATAACTTGCAAGTGTAAAGAACAGAGACATCAGCATTTTTATTATTATTTTTAAACTAGAGCAAATAAGGGTCACATTCAAAATACACAGGATTTTGGATAAGCCGACAGCAGCTCGGTGGAACAGAGAAGCTAATGCTGCAGGCTCTGCTGCTCCACAGCCAGGGAAGCAGTACACAGAGGGGCTGCTGGAATAGGAAGAACATCTGGAGATATCTGGTCTCAGAAGAGCAAATATCTATAAGCACCTCCTGTACTGTCTATGGTCACCTCCTGTACCTTCCCCTCTGGTAGCCAGCTCTTAAATAGGTCTAGGAGGGGTGGAGCCTGGGTCCGCCCCTTCGGGCAGCACAGGTGAATTGCCTTCAGCTGTGCTCCTCCAGCTGACTCATGGCTCGCCTCAGGTGATCAATCAGAGGTTCAGGCTGTGACTCAGCAGTTCCCATACACCAACCAAACCACCAGAGCCAAAGGAGAGGCTGGGGAAATGAAAAAAAAGTCAGTGGTTCCTCTGAAGACAATGAAGGAGAAAGAACTCAATGTGAAGTTCTGAGGTGTTTTTCTGCTTGTTTGGTTTTTGTTAATTATTTTTTTTTACTCAAAGTACTTGTTGGTTTGTTAACACTCCACAAGGACACATTGCTTGAGATCACACCTTTGAGCCAACCTTTACACGAATAAGGTACTAGCCATTAGGAAACAGCAAGGCGCAATAACCACATAACTAGGAGAACCTGGATGAATCATTCCTCATTTCTCTTTCTCTGCTGCAATTTCTCCCAAGTAAACAAAAACAGTGCTGCTCACCTTTGTAAAAGAAGCAAAATGGAGCTGACAGACTGCAAGTCATTAATCTCTGCTCCTACAGAGGAATTGTTAATATATATATATTATAATATAAATATTATATATATAATATATATTATATATATATTATATATATATGTATGTATATCTAGAAATTCTCCTGGATGCTTAGTATTTTTAATGGAGATTCCAGTGCTATTTTCACTGGATGATGTATAAAAGAATGTGGGAAGCATGAAATAACACATCAGTGGGCTTTCCCAGAGGCGTGTAAAATGCAAATCCCTAAAGTCTCCCAAAAGGAATTTTCAGAATTTCAAAAGTTTGTAATATAAAAGAAATCTTAAATGTGAGGCTTCTGGCACACATCAGAGTCACTGCTGAACATCAAAAATTGAAAGCAATTTAACTCAGAAATGTAACTGGAGAATTCTTTTCAGGAAAGGCAACTTTTTAACATTTCTCCTTTCCAATAAGCAATTTTTTAGCTCATTATTCCAATAGCTTGCTTCTACCTATAATCAAGTAAAGACGTTTTTAAGTTTCAATTCATTTTGCAGTTCTAAGTAGCTTCCCTTAATTGTTCATGTCAAACACCTATTATACATTTTTAAAAATTTATAAAACAATTCCATGCTGTCAGGAGGAGAAAGTTTTTTTAGCATTACAATTATTAACTGGATGCAAGCAACTCCAGCTAACATGTTTGCTATTATTCGCTTGTGGCAGAAACCTATTTATAAAAGGCATTACATTCATACAGTCATTTAGTGTTTCCATCCACAGCATATTTTCTTGCCATTCCCTCCACGAAGATATAGAGCTTACCAAGCCATGAAGTTTGTTTGGAGGGCTTTCTTACTGCCAGATGCCACAATAAATGCTCTGTATCACTGAACAAGGGTAAGGGCACTCACTGAGAAAATGATGGAGGTTTGTATCTGTCAGCTTGATGGAAATGTTTGCATTTTCACCAAACAGAAATTCATATAGCTAAGTGAAACTAATAAGCTGGCAATGTACTGCCTTGTCTCAAAACTCAACAGAGATTCACTCTAAAATATACACACTTGGTAGTCCAGTGAAAATAAGGAAGTCCAATTTGGCACTCATTGTTTAGACAACACTTGTAACCAGAGCTAGAAAGGCAATGACAAACTTTTCCTCCTCTCACATATAGACAAACATTATTAACAAAAAATCCTGTGAGAGTTGATAGATGACAAGAAATGAAGACTAGGCCTTAGTTTATGGCTGATGGAGCTTTGATAACCACATTGTTTTTCCGCGTAAGTTTTTTTTGTGTGTGTGTGTGTGTGAGACCAAATACCTGCCTGATCCTGTATGACCTTGCTGAATCAAGATATGGGAAGCCACAAAGTGTAGCATCATCAACTACTGATCAGACATGAAACCCTTTTGGTCTAAGAGAAGTTGTGTGGCTAGGTAGAGACATTTCAGGAAATGTGAAAGATAGATTAAAATGTACCAGGTTGCAGTGCAGAGTTTCACAGGGCTTCGGTATCTTCCTTTAAGTGTGTCACATTCCAGTTCTGGGGAAATGAAACTCCCTCTCCTATAATGAAGTATTTTGTGGCCCTGGCTGGAAACACAAAAATTACTAAAGCGACTCCTGCCAGAAGTACAAGTGAAGTACTGATGGCTCTTGAATGGAGCAGATCCATCATTTCATAAACCTTTGACATATTCCCAGGCAGTCAAGTACTTGCGCGTGTGCAACATGAAATGGCAAATTCTTGTGGGCTTTTTTTTGTGTGTGTTTTTTTGTTTTTTTTGTTTGTTTTGTGTTGGTTTTTTTTTTTTTAATGGAAAGAAGAAAAAACAAAAAAAAGGACAGGACAGTTTGGTGCTGCTCCCAAACAATCCCACATATTGCAGTACCTGGCTTAAACCTCGGCCCAATTTCACCATGTCACTTTTTAAGACCTCCTAACTTTCAATGCAGGACAAAACACAGTTCTACTCAATACTCTACTGGTGTTATTGCGTGGACAGTAATAGTAAAATTCTTTACAGCGAGTAATCATTTTGATTTTAAAGTCCCAGACAACTCATTTCTACAGTAAAGACACAACTTACAGTACTTGTTAGTACTCATGCATTTGTTCTTAGATTTTTGGAGCTGTGAGATGCTTGCTGTATGTTCTATCATTCAGAAAGCCCATGCCAGCTCTTTTTAAATCAGAGTCCCTATACCTTTACTGTACTGAACACAGGTGAGGCGAGTCCTTCAAAGTTTGCTTTCAGAAATCATCACATGTATCCCTGGCTACGATGCCACAAGCATCAAATTAGACTAGAAAGCTACTAGACCAGTTCAGCCTCACCAAAGCTGACAGGAGTCCTTTAAAGTGCAGCAAAAGTGAGCTCCAAATATAATTTTTCTCTAGGTTTGACCTATAGATCTGTATGCATACAGAAGATTATATACTGTGCTACAGGAACTTTTTTGCATTGAACAGCACTGGAGAAATACTTGGCATTCACTTATCTTGCTGACTGGTGCATGTGCCAACTTGTTCTTCACTACCACATAAAAATTTCACCTGGCAGTGCTCAGGCTTTCTTCCAACATTGCAACCTTTAGGAATTAGCAATTTCTACCTTCTTGAGCTGCATATTTACCTCCACGGATCTGAGTTTCTTTGGGGGGGAGCTTTCTGAAAACCTTACTGGTCATTTTCATACCAACAGTCAGAAAAGGATACAATAAATTCAAGGCATTTTCATATTTAGTATGACATATCTATAGAAAATAGAAGGAAGATTATTCTAACAAATCAAATTGTTAGATACTCAAACTTTGGTTACCACCATTTCAAAATACACCACTAATTTGGTTATTTTCAAGATACTGTCTTAACATCTGTCTTTCAGCAATTATTGGAAATTGGTTAAAAAAGTTCTACAGAAAGGAGACTGGTCATGTTAAGTCTTTGAAGCTTCTAAAACAAAACAAAAACAATCCCCATACAAAAACGAAACCAAGAACTCATGCCAAAGCACTAATCAGAGCAGAAATGAAAACCACACCTAAACACAGGGAGTTAACCAAAGAAATTAAAGACCCAAAGCCGATTTCAGTTACTGTCATCCTTGTTAAAAAACTGTTAGGTCAGACAAAAAACCAAAAGTCCAGTACAAATTTTCCTATGAAAATTTCCAAGAAAATAGCATTGAGTTTTGGGAGTGCTAAATCTACCCTTTATGACCTTGAAATCATTCCCCCTTGTTCTGTAGGAAAAAGTTACGTTACTTGCAAATAATCCCACCTTCATTACGGCCATTTTTAGGTTCACAGCACTTTGTTTTCTTCCCACATATTTAAAGGAGGCCCTTTTGCAAAACAGAAATGTAACACTACTTGAATCCAATTTAAACATGACAAGAAATGGTGGCATAAGAACTGTGAATGTAGATTTTCATTAAAACCTATAATCTGAACAAATGTGTTTTTATCTACAGGACTCTTCATGCAGGGAGAGCATGTACTTTGTTAGCAAAAATGCAGTGCTTGATTTAATATAAAGGTGGATTTGCAGTTGCAAGTGTCTTGGTAGTTACTCACTGGTGCAAATTAGTCTTTCTGGAAGGCAATTAAGGAGTAGAAATACAAAGCAAATTTAAAGTGTTGGAACACAGGAAACTAATTTGTGACAGTCTGCCTATACAAAGCTTAGAATCTCAACATACTTGCAGTTTGCCTTAAGTTTCCAACAGAGAAAGGACATCTGTTTACATTGTTCAAAATTTAATTCAGATTAAATGCACAAGTATATCTAGATAACCATATATGTATGCCTCAGCACGTCTGTACTCCGCACATACCAGGAACAAAACTTTATCAATTTATGTTTCATGTTAGGTTTTGATTACTCAAAAAAAAAAAAGTGCATTACACTTGCATCAGTTCACAATAAGTTTATTTTATATGAAGAAAAGCTTTGCCATTAATGAAAAACTTCAGTAGAAAACAGTATGTCCTGCTTTCAATCTAGATTACTCAAAAGTAGAAGCTTGTATTAGTGAAAACTTCAGTAGAAACAAATCTGTAGGAAACATTCTTGGCACATGAAGTAAAAGCTTCAAACATTAAGATTGAATAGAATATTCACCATGCAACCACACTGGCAGAGAAGCCAGTTTGTAATGGCTGGTATTTGTCCCTCAAGAAAGAAACATGGAAGACACTTAAACCTGCTTATATAACGTTAATTGTATATAAATACGGTGCCACCATAACTGACAGTCTTTATTCAGGGCAACAATTCAGTTTAGCAGTTCTAAGTAAGTAATAGGCACTTTGCCTTTCTGATTTCCCCTTTCACCCATCAGCCAATCTGAATCCATGCCAGGGATGCTGTAAACTGTTATCACCTAAAACAAACAAACAAAAAAAACCATAAATACATGATAATAATCTTGTCAGTGCCTGGAAAACAAATTAGAAGTCTACTTTCTTGTAATTTACAAGGTCTTCAAATCAAAATCAACGAAGTTAAAAAAAAACATCCATGAAACATAATCTAATGCTCATTATTTTTTCATTGGTCCATGGAAAAGTAAATATGGCAAAATATTTAAAATATCTCATCCTTTGTCTAGGTCTTTTTTTTTTTTTTTAATTATACTGGTTACTACCTTTTTTTTTTTTTTTTTTGATCTTCAAGTATATGATAGAAAAAGAGATGGTGTTGATGGGCTGCATCTTAAAAGACAATCTTAAGCCACAGCTTCCATCTAAATCACAGCCTAGATGAAAATAAAGTCATACAGAAATATTTAAAAGATGCACATTTTTAAGAAACCTGAATTCTTTGGTGTATGTTACACAGTAACATTACTGGGTGGAATACTGCTCCAGCACCCAGCTTTGTTTTATACAACTTCACTTGCAAAGGATAGGCTCTCTAACTTTGAAGTATTAAGAGTTCATCTGAATCAAAAAGGAATAAGCACAGCACTGCTGCCACTGCCAAAACAGAAGTGGTTGTGCTTTCATTTTCTTATCAAACTGCAACACTTCATGTTTGAAAGACCAGTTGTATTGATAATAGTTTTGGAAGAATGGTAGAAGGAAGATAGTATAATCGTACCTTGATTGTCCAGCAAATGTTCTTGCAAGCTAAGCAGGCATAACAAGTATCAACTCTCATCATTACAGTATACAGGTAAAGATGCTGACTTCTCAGAGCTCTATTAAGATTTAATTAATAGATGTGCTACACTGAGGGATCTACGTAGTTCATCTTAACTGGCCAGTCACACCTATTCAGAGTTTACACTTAAATTATCAAAGTACTTCAAAATCTTACCTCATCTGCAAGTAATGATAACTCGCTGCTATTTGCAGCATCGTAGTCATACAGAACTCTAGCTTTCCTGCTGCCACTTGACGATTTCAGTTCACTGATGCCTGAAGTAACTACAGAATTGCTTACTGAAGGCAATGAAGCAGAAGCTGAGACCAAGACTGAGGGAGTAGAAACGCTTTGCACAGGAGCTGAAGAAGACTGATTATTGTTGGAGAGAAAAGTAGACGGAAAGCTGTGGGGAAAACAAAACAAAGATCTCTGGTTGAATCAGTTCCACATGAAAAGTCATTTGCCTCCATGCTTAAATTAGAATTTTTGCATTTGGACATCAGTAAACAGCAAAGATTGAGTAGTACTGATACTTGTGCAAACCTACATAATGATATTTGTGTGCTACCCATTTTTGAAGTTGTATGATTTTTTCAGTGTAATGTAGCTTTAAAGATGTAGCGTTAAAAAAAAAAAAACAAACAGTTTCAAAGACTTTTTGTGAGTCTTTAAGCTATCTATTTAAACAAACCGAGAATCACAAGGAGACCAAGCACCACAGGAAGCAGCAAGTCAGAAAAAGGACAAAAACACATCTGTTTCTACTTCCTCTTCTTGGAAAACAAAAGCATCAGAGACAGTTATTTAGTACAGCCGCTACAGTAAATTTTAATAGTTAAGGAAACCTCCAGTTTACCTCACTATTAAATGAAGACAACTCATTGCCTGTGCTCATCTAAATAACAAGTCTGCAATAGCCTTAAGATTCCGACAAGTAGAGAAGAATTTGAATAGGAAAACCTGTATGAAAAGGAAGCATGTAGACCTTCCTACATCACCCCAGTCACAAAGGCTTACAAACATGAAATTCATGTCAGACTGTTTCTTCCCTTACTTTAAAAAATGTTGAAACCTCAGAACAGTAAAACTAGGTATTTTCTTAGAACAGCACACCCGTTTTTATCATTGCTTTATCAGCATTAAGCTTTCCTACCACTGATAAACACTTGAACTTCAGAGAAGAATGTTTTAAACAGTGTTACTACCTTCCCAGTTGCTTCTGGAGATCCAACATATACTTGTAACATTGTGCATAATACGTCATCTGAGCTTCAACAAAGTCATTCAGACAGCGGAGATGATGTGCCTACCAAGTAGTAAATATTTAAGTTTTAGCTTGCAAAAACTTCACACTGCATTACAAACACTGGCCTATTAAGCAGGTTGGTAAGGCTAACATCAGTACATAAGTATTCATCCCACATAAGCACTATGCCTGGATTTACCAGGTAAATAGAATAAAGTGCCCCAAATCAATGTATGTGAGCATCAAAAGTAAGTGCAGTACAAGAATCTTGCATTTATCTATACTGTTTCCACAACAGATTATTTTAGCACATTTTTGTGATTTCAATAATCAGTTGATCAGATAAATTGAAAATTATGTTGAATGGTAACAATGAAAACACCAGAGATCAAGGTTAACAGGAAAACAAAGTTAATTCAATGGGCACTAAAGAACAGTTAAAAAAAATAAATCTTCCAACAGATACGTTTAAGCCATTACATGAAAGCAAGTAGCCTGAAGTTCCCACATAGATTACTGTAGCTTTTTGTTTGTCTTTAGGAACTGCCCTGATTTTAACTAATTTTTCCCCCTTCTGGATACTCACATGTGTGCTGCTGATACCTTCCAGGAGAAGTCTGGTAATCTCTGCTTGACGGTCAAATTCACTTTGGGTAATTCGTACTTCCTGTTCAGACTAGAAACAAAGATGCATGTTAGATATTTGTACTGTGCAATATTGCACCTTTGTACTGTGACAGTCCCATTTTACTCAGTGCCAGTCATTCAAACACATTTAATAACATTTCATTGTTTGAATCCTGTGCTTTTCTCTACAGATCTTTTCTACACAAGAATAATTGGTTTTTTGGGGGGTTCAGAAATGCTGGAGTCCTATCTACACAACAAGCAGCTTTATCATTAGACACTTAACACATAGATAAAATGTATACAAAAGAAATATCCTTCTGCCAGCATTATTAACCCACCTCTCTCAATAACAAAGCAAGCATTAAGTGGCATAACAGCGTTTGTACCACAGACTCTCCTAGCACAGCAGTGGAGTGAAGGACAACTTATTCCCCCCTGTATTTCAAGTTCACAAGGCTCTGCTCATATGCTTAATGTCATTTTCATTGGACAACGCAGGAACCAATCAGCAAGGAAGAGCTCAAAATACATACTTCCCTGTGGTCCTTAGATGTAGTCAGATTTTATTTTTACATGCATTAGAAGTGTTCACTGAGTACCTCCCACTGAAGGACACTCAAAATAATTACTTGGTCCTGAAATTCAGAACGTAAACTTGGTTCCTGAATGTTAACATTCAGAAATCCATGATCTCCCAAAATGCTACAGAAGATTATGTGAACATTTAGAAATACTGTGTAATGCAGTAATAGAGGGATAACACTTTCCAAGAGCAGAGGAAATAAAATCACTTTCCTAACGCTGTTTTATAAGACAGACTAAATAAAACAGTGAGTGAATATATTCATACGATCCAATACAGCAAGGCCTCCTTGTTTCCTCTCCAGTCCAAGAGATAAGCACCTCTAAATGTTCGAAATCACTCTATAGCCTCAGTGTGTTGAGCAAAAAGCCTCCTCTCTTTCCAATTAACTACATCAGACATCATAGAAACTCCTTGCAAAACTCATGTACCTAGCATAAAGGTGTCTTTCAGAACAGGCTAGATTACTAGAGCTCTACCTTCCCGAAAATTTTCAAGGAAGCTCATTAGGAAGTTTGCTTTTTTTTTTTTTTTAAAAAAAAAGAAAAGAAAAGAAAAAAGAAAAAAGCCAGCAAGTTAAAAGACAAGCCCTGTAGTTTTCATTTTTTCTTTTTCTATTGCATCTTGTCACATGACAGTCATATGATACTAATTGATAGCCAGCCAAAATAGCTGACTATACAGTGAGCTTTGGGCTTTGTATCAGCACTGGAATTTGAAAGGCCCTGAAGGGACCCCGAGTGTTCTGAAGCAGCATGAGACACTATCAGTACTCAAGTCAGCAATATGCAATATCCTTTATTACATTATGTATCAGTACTCAAGTCAGCAATATGCAATATCCTTTATTACATTATATCAACACAAGTTATTGTTGCAGAATTCTGCAGTTTCTAAATTGTTTACTTACTTTTGTCACTTCTTCAGCCCATATCTAGTCAGCATTAAAAGAGCAGAGAAAAAACATGCAAACTTAGACTGGTGTTACTTTATTAGAAGATGCAACTTAACTTTGCCTTTTAACTATTTCCTTGTTTCAGAACTTCAGAGATTTGTGAAATTCTATGAATAAATCACTTGCTTAAAGCCCTCCATATACAGTGGAGTAAGGACAAAACTACGTCAATGAAATAAATCCCTAAGTTCACACATGGGAAAGAATGACGTGTAGAATTGTTCTGCTTCAAATAGATTCTTGTAAGATATTACTACAAGCTAAAATTTAAGATTAGGAAGTGATACAAATCAAACTGAGTTACTTTATGGGTGAAGTTAGGTTATGTTCACATGTTAGAAACTGGAAGCTATGGAAAGCTATTCTCATTTTAAAGACTCACATTAAAGACTGAGAAAGACAAATTAATGATTTCTCTTGCTATGTCCATTGTTTTTTCTTTTATTTCACGAGAATTTTCATTGAAATTAAATTACTCTCAAATTGAGAATTAAAAGTAGGAGCACATAGCACAGCAAAGTCATAGAACCAGAGGGAATTTACTCTAGAACTTAATTACTTCAGCTTGCTGCCCCAATTTTCTCTTGCAATGCAATTCTCCTTTAACCTTCACATTTCCACAGTTGAAAGAAGATGACACAATCAGGACTGTGGTAAGAAGAAGCATGCATAAAGGTCACAGAAGCTAGCTGAAACAACCTCATTCACCCTTTTATCTGACCACAACTGAGAAACATACGTACTTACTGCAATGAGACCCACTGTGCTATACAGATCCAGATCAAATCATGACAACCCAAACAGCATGGTTTATGTCATAGAATCACAGAATAACCCAGGTTGGAAAAGACCTTAAAGATCATCAAGTCCACCTGCAACCTCACAATACTACCGAACTCTAACAGCCCTCTGCTAAATCATCTCCCTGAACACCACACCCAAATGGTTTCTAAATACATCCAGGGATGGTGACTCAACCACCTCCCTGGGGAGCCCATTCCAGCTTAAGAACCCTTTCTGTAAAGAAGCTTTTCCTGATATCCAAGCTATACCTCCACTGGTGTAACTTGAGGCCATTTCCCCTCGTCCTGTCACCTGTCACCAGTGAGAAGAGACCAACCCCGCTCTCGCTGTCAGCACCTTTCAGATATTTGAAGAGAACAATAAGGTCTCCCCTCAGCCTCCTCTTCCCCAGACTAAACAGCCCCAGCTCCTTCAGTCACTCCTCACAGGACATGTTCTCCAAGCCCTTCACAAACCTTGTGGCCCTTTTTTGGACCTCAGTGTCCTTTCTGTATTGAGGTGCCCAAAACTGAACACAGTGCTCAAGGTGAGGTTTCACTAGTGCAGAGTACAGGGGCAGGATGACTTCCCTAGTCCTGATCACCACACCATTCCTGATACAAGCCAGGATGCCATTGGCCTTCTTAGCCACCTGGGCACACTGCTGGCTCATATTCAGCTGTCTGTCCATCAGTACACCAAGGTCCCTTTCCATCAGGCAGCTTTCCAGCCACTCCTCCCCAAGCCTGTCGGGTTTCCTGGGGTTGTTATGACCAAAACACAGGATCTGACACATGGCCCCATTGAAACTCTACAGTTTACTTTGGCCCATTGATCCAATCTATGCAGGTCTCACTGTTGTGCCTTTCTACCCTCTGGCAGATCAACACTGCCTCCCAGCTTGATGTCATTTCCAAACTTACTGAGGTTGCACTCAATCCCCTCATCAAGGTCACTGATAAAGATACTGCACAGGCGTGGCCCCAGTACTGAGCCCTGGTGGACGCTGCTCGGGATAGGCTGCCAACTGGATTTAACTCCACTGACCACAACTCCAGCCTGTGTTTCACCCAGCAGAGCATATGGCCAATTACGTCAAACAAAAATTAACCCCCTATTCCATTTAGCACAACAATGATGCTAGAACAGCTGCACTAATGAGTCCCTACCACAGCTTTGGGATAAGCCATATTCTGAGTTAAGCCCTTCATTTGTGATTTTAATCCATTTCAACTGTTTGTAAAACACGTCTTGAAGAAAACAAATAGTTTCCACATATTTCTAGCTGTTTTACATTACTTTCTCCCATCCACATAAAAACAATAGGAAAACAATAATTCCTTTCCCTTCAACAGATGAACTTTGACAAGGAATAAAAATTGAATTCCTTTGCAGGCTAAATTTACAATGAATTCATGTGAGCATGAATTTAATACTGTATACTTCCAGATAGGTGATGAAAACACCACCCGATGCTGTGCTACTGTGAGTGTATTGAGTACACTTTTCATATGCAATGTGAGATACATATCCATTTGGAATGGAAATCATAGAATCACTAAGGTTGAAAAAGACCTCTAAGATCATCTAGATCAACCATCAACCCATCACCACCACGCCCACTAACCCACATCCCTCAGTATCACATCTGCACTTTTTTTTTTAAACAGCTCCAGGGATGAGAACTCCACCACTTCCCTGGGCAGCCTGCTCCAGTACTCCTTTGGAAAAGAATTTTTTCTTAATATCAAACCTGAAGCAAGGCCAAATTGAAAGGATAGCAAGAGGAACCAATTGACAGAAAATGAATGAACACAGGAGGCCAACAAACCTTCAGCCATTTTACATGCAGCAAGTTGAGCACGTAAGAGACATTTACCATAATGTTATTCTCTTCAGGCTGAGAAGTGTTTAGTTGCTTAAGTGCATAGATAAAAGACAAAAGCAAGTTACAACACTGAATACAGCAGGTGAACAGTTTGTTGGCACAAATCCTACAAGTTTAAGCTAAACAAGATTGTGAACTGATCATAGAAATCTAAACAGTTTTATTCAGCTCTTTTAAATACTGATCTAAGCTAGTTCAGTTGAAAATAATACTTTTACAGCAAGAAAAAAAGTATTTAATTGTAGGTCCTAATTAAATCACCTTGCACCATCCTGTCAAGTAAGGTGGTGAAACAAATTCGATTCAATACTTTTTCCTATATTATCAGTTCAGTACTGTTTGCCAGACATCTTCCTTCATAAACAGAATGAGTTAGCAGAAGGTGAACTATTTGCATAACAACTACATCCATATTAGTCTCCATTTCTGTACTGCAGGATAAAAATTGAGATTTTTTCTTTTTTTGAAAACTTCTCTAGGAATCCTAAAATTCAATTCTTTTTAGACATGCTTACTGCTATTAAAACATAAGTAAAGTTCAAGTGTAGGCAAGACAGTGATGCAAGAAGCCTGGAGTTTCATGTTCTACCATCACAAAGTAACTTGCAAGTAGAACTGAATTACATGCTATTGGGATATTTAAGACCAGTCAAGTAGTAGCAGCAGTAGCAACTGTCAATAGCTTCATCCAAGCACATGGCTGTGGATGATTATACCACAGATGAACTAACAAACCTGAGTACAGAACATTCCTTTTACTAGCTCAATTCCTTCAAGAAAAGTTCCCCCATTGTACACATATTTTAAAAGTACAGTGTATACTTACTGCCATAACACAATAAATTAACAACACTTCTCCACACTTTGCTGGTAATGTCACAAATTAAGAAAGCGTGACAAGTAGAAAAATAACTTTTTTTGCATCAGAATAACATGATACAGGAAGAAATGCATGCATTGACCTGAAAGATATATCAACAGTTTAAATTCACAGGAACAGCAGACATGAGGTAGAAGACTGACAGACAGGCAGAACTGTCAGGGAGATAAAGGGTATTTTTGTTTGCTTGGTTGTTTTTGACTTTTTTTGTTGCTTTTTTTTTAAAAAAAAAAAAAAAAAAAAAAAAGAGAGAAAGGGATCACCACCCCAAGGATATGAGGTGCTTTATCTGTCAAGCTCAGCCTCATAGATAACAAATCTGGTATCTTTTAAGACAATGATCCATTCAGAAACACCAGCAAAAGTCAGAATCCTGCTCCTGCCTCTTCATCTTGCATAGTACGCGCATTCTCCCTACATACTGAAACTGCCTCTATTTCTTCAACATCTGTGTGCACAACCCTTACTACACTAAACATGAAATCTCCCAGGATAGCAGAGAGGAAACAATCAGACCTATGAATACATAAGTATAACAAGTCTGAAAGTTACAGACGATTTTAAAAACATTACTTACTGCAGCTCGAGCTTCAGCAACTTTTGCCTTCTTCAATCTGGTTTTTGCAGCATCCAAATCCAGTCTTTTATTCTGTAATAGTTTGCGTTCTTTCTGAAAGCCATGTAGGTTAGCTCATGAGAAAACATACAATTCAAAAGCAAAATCCTGTCTACTTGTTTTCCTGCCTCCTCTCCTCATGATCATACATAAAACGTGTTCTTCAGTTGAACAAAGAAGCAGAATTAGTTCCTAATTACCCTTACACATTTTATACTTCAGATACATACCTTTAATATTTAATATAATTTAATATAGTTTAAGAAAAGGTAAGATTGCAGAATTATTTTGAACGGTCAAAAGGAAGAAGGATACGTTAAGGTTACAAATTCATCTGACCTTTTCCAAATCAGTTTCCAAAAGCAATACTGCTCAGTTTTCTACAATTCCAGAGATCTGCTTTTTCAATTATTTTGAAATGCTGAGGAATGCACACTTCAACTTACAGTAATAGTTTTATAGTCTCCTTCGATAAAGTTTCTTAGGGGAGTGAGAAAGTTTATAGCTGACGTTTGAATTAGTTCTCTGTCTGCTGTTCCAATTTGTTTTTGTGTTTCTCCACATTTAATGAGTGCATTTCCTGAAAATGAGAAAATATGATGATTTCATAGCAATTTAGACAGGTAGCTGTCAAGACAAGTTACTACAGGCACATGAGTCAAGGCCAACAGTTTGAAAGATAATCCAATGCCATAGCAGGGACTTCCAAAATATGTTATTACCTAATAAAACTAATTCTTGTTTTATATCAAAAATCACAGGCGAAGGCCAGATTTCAATGAGTATATATATTGCAACTTCTACGGTGCTGTAACTACAGCAACTTGGTTGTCCACACCTATTTTAGGCCTGGATATTGTACCTACTTACATCGATTTAAACAACCTCCTCCCTTTATATAATATTTTTAAGTAATTAGTCACGAGTATTCAGGAGCAAGGAAAAGTCCACTTAGCTACTGGAAAATACTTCCTCCACCTTTATCCCTGAGATCAACACCAGTTCCTAAACATGCACGTAGGTTTTGTCTACTGACTGAACAATACTTGGAAATGTGGTTACAGGTTAGGCATTGAAGCCCAGGCTAGTGTATCAAGAATGCACAGTGCTCATTAATACGTTTCAACAAACACACAAGGCTGAATTAGAAAAGGCACTCACCAGGTCTACAGACAAATAAATCAATTTCATGACACCACAAAATGTAAGTCTATCTTTATGCTAAAAGTTCCTGCAACTCCCCTGAACTACAGATGTTGCAGCAACTGCAACACAAAGGACCGTGTGCCTGTAAGCAAAAATCTATGCAACATTAAAGAATCTTGAGGCTCATGATCAGAAAGGGGTCACAGATAAAAACCATAAAAACATACTGAAAGTAAAAAGTATAAAGCCTGCCATTATCAATTTTGTATCCTTATATCTTCTACAAAACATTTTTTTAAATACTCTTTCCCTCCTTTCTGAAGGAACCCCACTGTTTCCAGATCTAAATCATTCTTCCTAGAACAGATTTCCCCTCCAACTGCAATATTAAAGAAATTAACTAAGGACAGCTAGCTGCTCGACTATCATTGCGGACTTAAGCACACACATGTATTGCAGTCAATAAGATTAAATTAACAGCTACACCTATTTTCAGCAACTTCCAGGGTCGTAGAGAACACTAACATTAGATCTTTTAACTGAAACAGTGTGAAAACATTATACAGAATACCCCACCACTTAGTTCTCTTGTCATAGTTACAGAAGTCTGCTGGAGAACAAAGCTTAGATTATGCTCAACAGTCACCTATACAAACATTCTGCCACATGCATACACACATAAAATCAAAAGCAGGAATACTGTGAAGTTAAAGGAGGTTCTTAGTAAAAAAAATTAACACTAGATAACATTAAGTGTCGTCAGATGTGCTGCCTTTACATCTAACTAGGAAATTAGATTCCAGAATTATGATTCCAGAAAGTCATCCTTCCACAAAGATGGGCAGTATTCCAACGTTAAGTTCTGTTTGTTTTTTTTTTTTATTAGAAGAGAAACCTCATCATTGATCTCCTAACACACAAAGTCACAGAGCAAGTCACCTCAAACTGATTAAAAAAAAGTCTTTGAAGTGTTTTGCCTAAAAAGAGACAAATGCACATTTTTTCCCCCCCAGTGTAAAAGCATATGTGCATTTTTTCTCCCCCTGCATTCATTGCTTTCACTTACCGTATGCTGTTCCTGGGCCAAATTCATTACCAGCATCAATCATATACTGGCCTAACAACTCTGGATTATTCATACGACTTGGTGCTTTCCGGTCCAGTTTCTCATAGAAAAATTCTTCTATCCTAGCATCTGAAAAACACAAGCATTTCAAAGAACTGTCACTCAAAACACAACTTACAAATAGAAAAGGAATAAAACAATTTTAAATTCCAGACATACAAGCTCAACATTAAGTGAACACCGTTAGGATGAAGATGTTGTTCTTCAAAGCTATCTGTATTTTATGTCATGCTTGTTTAAAATATTCCTTACAGCTGTCTTCCAAAGCGAAAAATTAAACTTTTAACCTTCCTTACACAATGGGGTTTTCAAAAGTTTAGTTCTAAGTCTTCATTCTAAGAGTCTCATAGTACACTTCTGAAAAACAAATAAAAGTTACCATTTGTAGCTTATAGAAAGCTACAAATTAAACATTCAGCATCTAAGAAAAGCAATTATTCAGTAAAGAAATAGTAAGAGACAAACATTTCAGCTCATCTTGCCAGCTTCAGAATGACTTGCATTGCACAGGAAATTTAGCATAATGAAATAGATTAACAAAGTTCCTCAAGCCACTGAATCCACAAGAAAAATTTTAGAGTTCTTACAGCCACCAAGGATTTCTGGAATTAGAGCTAGAAATTCAACTAAATAGGAAACAACTCCAAAAGCAATCAAGAGTATGGAACCAATGCTGCAATTTAATTACGCTCATTTACATATTTCTGCACTTGAAGGCTCACAGAAGAACTGAAAGCAAGCAAATGGAACAGTGCCTCTGATACCCAATGGCTCTTCAAAACGTTCAAAATCCTTCAACATTGAAAACTGCTGAATTTACTTATAGTTTAGGCAATACCTATACCACTAACAGTTACACTGGCAAGCCTATTAATTAAAATGTTGCAAACAAAAAAACTGAACGACTCCTTACTTGGATTTGGCTGCAACAACACTTCTGTTTGCTTCATTATTTTCTCTGTCCACTGCTTAGTGCACTCTGCTTTGCTGAGAAGGTTCTCCAGGTGAGCATCCAGTTCAGTCTTCTCTGCTTGACCAAGCTTTTCTTCTGTGAACTGTAGTTAGTCAGACAGGTTGGAAATACTCAGTTCATAAAACTAGTTTCCAAGTGCAAGTCCAGGATGGCAACTACTCGCTCATATTACTTTCACACAAAGTTATCCAGACATCATTAAGAAAACTGAAGGTTAAATCTGTAAGTTCAACAACCCACCCTCACTACCAGCAAAAAAGGGGAGAAGGGTATTAATCACATCAAGACCAGGATGATTTACAACATTTTGAAGAAATCCTCTGCTCTACCTGCTCTTCTTGCTACCTGGAGCTCTCGATTGAAGCATTTTGTCCAATTTTGCATCGTGCCCCTGGGAAGATGAGTCCGATGGAAAGAGTCCAGAGGTAACAAAACAACTGAAAGATTACTTCAGCCTTGCATGTTTTGTAATTAAGGTTGTCCCTTCACCCCTAGGGAAAACTGCAGATATGACAGATTCTTACAGCAGCTTCCTTTAATGTATTTAAAGAATGTTGTCCTGTCTGTAGCAAACAGGACAAAAAATAGTGGGCTCCAACTTCAACGTGATGATTTAAATTAGAACTAGATATCAGAAGCTCTACAGTGCTCTTAAAGCAAGGATTAAAAGCTAAAATAGGCCATCCTGGGAAGATTTGGAATATATGTTTGGGGGAAGGAGGGACTGCATTTTAGAACAGGACAGATTCATGCTTCAGGATCTGTTTAGATACAGCTGATCCTGTTAAGCTTTACAGAAACAGTAAGTTGACCTCTTAAATTCTTCTCCAAGCAGTTTTCTTTGACAGTGAAACACAATGTAACTCTAATTAGCTAAATAAATAGAGAAGACTATTAATTTCACTTGATATTAAATTTATGCCAATGCTTATTAATCCATAACCAGTTTCAACCTCATTCCTAGGTCTCCAGGAAAGACAGAAGATGAGTGCTTTCTGTCAGGAAACAGAACAAAGCTGGAGCTAAGGGTTTGGCCTGCCTCTCTTCAGAGCACTGGTTCGTCAAGATGACCTCATCCCTTCACAGCCTGTTCAAAGTCAGGCATATTCAGAAGAACTTAGTTAAGAACTACATCCTTAATGAGCTTACTGATCAAGAATGTAAGAGCAACAAAGCATTCTAACTATCAAAATTCATTCTTAACAAGCTCCTCATTGAAATACTTAAACTTACAATAGAAAGCAAGAATACAATGCAAATAAAACTGATTGCCCAAGTTTAATTTCCACATAGAACAAAAACAACTTTGATAGCACACACATCTGAAGGCTAGATAAATACTGCAGTTATTTGAGGCTCTACTAAGAAAGAAAGGCACCTTTGCAAGAAAGTTCAATTGCAGTATAGGGAGGCACAGACTTTATTGATGGACCTGCTACTGCTATTTCTTAAAAGGCTCTTTAAAACAGTATTACGTACTGCAAGTAGCTCTCAAAAGCTTCTTAAGATTCATTATCATACAATAAAAATGGCTTTGATTTTTGCCTAATTACATAAAATTGTATTCGTTTATGAAGTGACCTTTCTAATTAGTATTTCCAGAACTCTTCCTCATAGTGTGGAGACTGCTTAGTCCATGTTACACTTCATGTACCCACTTAGAAGAAAAAAGATTAAAAATATAGAGCAGCATGGCAAATAACAGTTTGATAGAAGTACGGTTTCCAGCATCAATAAAATATATCAGTGCTGCCCCTCTGATTTCCCACCTGTTTCCACAGGTTGCTTGAACATGCCCAGGTCATGATGGAGGAAATAGTACTGTTTTGTATACAATGGCATACATACATATACAACAACTCTCCTCCTTAAACATCTTATTTTAGGAGGAGATGGCAGTCGGTAGAGCAGATTACTATTACTTCCACATTCCCCTTAGTTTCAGTTCAGATGAAGAAGCCTATCAATGGAGCTATTCAGATGTAAACCAGCAACTCAGAGCATACTGGAGTAAACCACACTTTATACCACCTTTAAACTAGGATGGAAAGCCTCCGTTACATTTAATACAATTAAGTATTTACATGTAAAAAGTCAAGATAAAAGAAGAAAGTCACAAGATCCTACCAGGGATCTTACAATGAAGAACTGCATCTCTTTTTTCTCCCCTTTGTCTTGCAAGAAAAGTTAAAGCTGGAGAGGAAGAGATGGTCTGGGAAACACGCAGCCCCAAAAGAAGTCAGGAAAAAAAAAAAAAAAGAAAAAAAAAAAGTGTGTGGAAAGACCTCCAACATGTACAAAAGCCATAATTACTGCTTTAAGGTAATTTAAGCTTGAGCAACAATGTTTTCTGATGAGTTTGCATCTTCAGTGCTCTGCTGTACCACTGATCGCTGGCTCTGCTTGAGTATTTAGATACAGGCCAACAGTCCGCCTGATCTGAGCACACAGCCACTTTAATCACATTCCAAACCTGACTCAAGGAAAGAGCAGGAGAAATTACTGTGAATTACTGCGCTCAGTTTGGATATCCACCATATCCACCTCCCTACAGGAAATCTGTTCAGGTTTGATTATGTAAAGAAAGAGGATTACAGCTCAAGACAACAGCAAAGGAACAGAAGCCAGTTATAGTGCCCTTAGCATAAAGAAAGGAGAAGACAGACCGAGAAACAACGGGCTATCGAACGAGCCTAAAAGCGACAGCGAAGCTAAACGAAAATTAAAGCAGACAGATGCTCGCACGTGTCACGTCAGAGCTCAAGTTTCACCGATCGGCCAGCAGGATGCATTCAGAGCAGCCAGTGAAGACACCGGCTTACTCCACGGCAGTCACACCTTTGTTCTGCTCCAGCCCCATCTCCCCCAGCTGCCGCTGCCCAGCCCGGCCGCCCCCTCCCCTCCCGGCCTACGCTGACCTTGCGCTGCCCCGCCCGCCGAGCCCGGCTGTTGTGCAACGGGCCGCGGAAAAATGCCCGTATCCAGACAGACAAACAGACAGACAACCGAGCGCAGTGGGGCGCGGGGTCACGGAGCAGCCCGAGGCGCGGCGCACCGCTGGCCCCCAAGCAGCGCGGCCGGGCCCGGCACTCCCGCGGCACGCCCAGCCGTCGGCCCAGCCCGGAACCGCGATCCCCGGCCAACGCCCCGCGCCGGGCCGACGGACGGCGGCCCTAAGGACCGGCCCGCGGCCTCGCCCGCTTCCCAACAGCCGGGGCCGCCGCGACGAAGCTCGGTCGGAGCGCGTGCCCCCTCGGGAGCGGCCGTACCTGCACGGCGCGGCTGAGAAAAGTGCCCGCGTCGGCCGCCAGCTTCTTCATGTTAAAGTCCATGATATTCATCTTCGGCGGGGGCGGCGGGGCGCTGACTCAGCCCGGACACCCGCAGCGGCGGCCGCCGCTCCGGCCCGTCCCTGTGGGGATCCGCCGGGGGGCGGTACCGGGGCCCGACGCAGCCACCGATTGGCCACGGCCGCGGCGTCAGGCGCAGGGCCCGGATCGGCTGCCGAAGTGACGGCGGCGATCGCCTCGCGCCGCCGAGGGAGGGGCCAGGCCGGGCCGCTGCGCGCGGCGCTTCCCGCCGTGAGGGCGGCGCTGCGCGCCTGAGGGAGAGGTGCGGGCCGGTACCGTGCTGCGTGTGCTTCGGGGAGTTGCTGCCGCCTGCTCGTTCCGTTTCTTGAGCCCTAGGCTTTGTAGATCAAATCGTGCTCGCCTTCAAGAAAAAAGTGAGGCGCGTAGAGCGTGACGATGGGAATTGGTCCAGAACTTGTGAGCAGCCGATCAGAATGCGCTGCTAGTTGAACAGTCTAGTTTGGATAACCGCGTACAGACAGCTGCAAGAAGCACTACGTGCCACGGGACAGTTCGAAGTACCTTCGGTACCGTAGCATAGTGCCGGTGAGCAAGCAACTAGTCTCTAGTTTTAATGATTTTTCACTATTTATTTCAACGTCCCTCATCATGGTTTTTGAGTGCCCCAGAAGGGAGAGCTTCGACGTGGGCTGTTAGGAAGCAGCTTTACAGTGTGTTGTCTTGTAGCGATGAGTTAATATTGCCAACTTGAAAGCAGTCCTGGTCACTCAGTCAGGTAACTGACCACGTAACCTACACAGCAAGTAACACTGGGCTGCGTTTGATAAGGCTGGAGGAAATCCCAAGGCATGACGGCAGGAAGTGAGCTCCAGAAAAAGGAAATAACTGGAAGGATCAACACAATCTTTCTTACATGCTGGTCAGATTCCAGGAACTAAAACCAAAACACAGCCCAAGCTGTGCGAAGCTCCTGTTGTGCCGCAGTATTGTTAAGGAGAGGGCCTGAAAGCTGCTGTGTGTGTATGTTAGCTCTTTTTGTGTCTCTTACATAACAGACATGTTATGTGTAACTGTTTATATATAAAAACTTGATGGCAAGTATGTTTCCAAGTTTTGGTAGCATAATAAGCTCTAGTGAGTCTCTGTTCTTCAAGGAGATAATGCAGCGTTACAGATTTTAAATTTGGAGGCACAAAGGCAGTTACTGAATTCCAGATCTTTCAATGGTGTCGGCAGTTACAGTTGTGGAGTTCCACAAGGTGCTGAAGAGCTGAGAGCAGCAGTGCCCGATACTGAGACAGAAGTACCACCTCAAGGAGACATCTGAGCAGTGTGTACTGTCTGCATTTCACTAGAGCTTGCATGGATCAGCTCGGACCAGAACAAAATGCTGCTGATCTTGAACCATGAAACCTATAGCTGCTCGTGAGCCTCACCTATCAGAGGCAATTGTTGCCTTGGAACTCAGCTCTTTCCTTCTGGAACTGCTCTCCTTTTGAGCATTACTTGGATGAAAGTAGAGGAAGAGTCCCATCTTTTAAGCTCCTATGGATTAGAGCATTGTTGAAAGATCTGAATTGCCTACTTTTGATAATTTCTTTTCTCAAGAGTCCTAAAGATGACAGTTCCAATTCTTTGGAAAATGATTTACTAAAACAGTACTTCCACCCCTATCACATGGGCTGTTCGGCATATGTGAGGCATTGGATGTTACTTTCAGTTCTTGCTATTAACATTCTTCCTCTTTTATCAAATGTACAGCAGTCAATGTGAATGAGAGGGAGAAAATAACTCCTCAGGCTAAGGGCTGCCACACTTATCAAAGAGTAAGATCTGTTCAATTGCATGTTTATATGTTTCATATAAAGCAACCCTGGCATGGATATGTTTTTCCCCATTTTAACTCACAATATTCTAAGATAAGACTAAAACTGGCTATTGGGTTATCTGGATTTCCATCTTGCCTGAGTTCCACAGGCTTTTCCCGCTCCCAAAACAGTACAGAGTTACTTCCTTTCTTGAAATTCTCTTTGTCTATAGTCTGAAGGCCTATAATCTAGTGTTCAGGAAAAACTCTGTTTAAATCAACATACCTGGTTCAGACAAAGAGGGCCATACCTTGTGTGCAGACATCATAAGACATCATATGGACAGTGACCTAAAGAGTTCTAAAGGTATATTCAAGGAAATTAAGGCATGTAGAGATACCCTCTATAGATCCACTAAAATAGGCTGAAAATAACTGAGGACTCAGCATGTTTACTTCTTCACCAGTGCTGGAGGAAAAGTATCCTCCTTCAGAAGTGTAGGATAGACAGCAGGGATGGTTACTTTTGAAAACAGTGCTCTGACTACATGGGAGGCTAATGTTTAAATTCAAGGCTTTAGAGACAAATATTTAAATTAAAAGACAACCAAAGAATGCCTCCATATTCAATTGATATCACAGTGAAAATGCATTAAAACAAATAAATATATTTTGGTAGAACATATAGTCCCAGTAACAGAACTCATGCTGAAATTCATGCACACTCAGCTCTAGAGTACACTGAGTGACATGGGTCACCTCTTTTGCCAGTGTATGTGCTATTTCCCTTTCTACTCATGACTATTCAACTGTGGTACATATTTTCATAAAATAGTTATTTTATTTATATTTATATATTTATATCTTATTTTAATGCAGTTGAACAGCTGGAAATTCAGAGTTCTGGCAGCATATTACCAGTCATATCCCTTCAGAACACCAACAAATATTCTAAAGAATAGCTGCAGTTTTTGAACCAGATTTTCAAAGTGCGCAAATACACCTGCATGGAAATCCAAAGGTAAATTTGATTTAACATTCATTAATGTTGCTAAAAGATAAAATAATAATAATTTTTTAAAAAGAGATACATTTATGTCATTGTAAAGAAACATTTTGAAAACTTCTCTCAGTTTAATGGTCAAAAAGTATTTTACTGAAATGGGAAAGAGCACTTGTTTATGTGCGTGTACATCTGTGCCAATATTAACAACTGTGAGTTTAGTTTGATAATAACTGAGTAAAGGTAATGAAATCAGTAGGGCCAGCTGTCTGGCCTACGTACAATCAGGCTTTCGTGTAAAATCTGGGTACTGGATTTGTCAGAACAAGAAAGCAGCTGTTCTCAACAGTGTGCTTACCTCCAGAAAATGCAGCTCTCTGAGTAAGAATTAATGATTCTTTCTGCATTAGTGCACATTTCCACTGATCCTCATAGCAGCTGTTGCTTTGCCCCTTCTGACCGTGTTGACTGGAGTTGTATTATGACTGCATACAGCAACTGGCAAAACAGTCAGTAGCCCAAGGCCCTGAAGTTTCAGAGAATTGGACTGCATTAGTGTACAGTTAGGCTTTCTTGAAATATCTGTTTATGTGATTTTTGTCCTTGCAGTTTCATAATTCCTGGGGCCATAGTGGGTTATTTTGTTACCCAGGCAAGATAATAATTTTGTCCCACACTCCAACTGTCTGCCTTAGAAAAGACTATACTCAGAGGAAGACTGTATAGAGAATTCTGTAGGCCAGAACTGGTCCCAACAGAAATAAAAATTAAAGGAAAATTCTGGGGGTTCTCCTTTTTACTGTGCAATAACAGACTGGAGATATAATTGCATCTCTAATATTTCCCTGCTGATGACTGTGGGAAAGTCACTTTATCACTTGGTACTGCAGTTTTGCCACACGTGTAATACAGAAATAATTAGACTAAACTTCTCTGTGATGTGAAGTCTACTTCCTACCGTGCAGGATGATGAAATCATTTAAAGACCATTGGAAGATCATATCTGGGAACAAAGCTTTTTTATTTCAAGAAGTACATTTTTTCTAGCGAGACTGAATTGGAGTGGGGCAGTTGTGTCAGTGACTGGTGTCCCAACCCATGCAGCTTTAGAGTACACATACTGTTGGTGTAAAGGTAATAATCAAAATAAGTAAAAAGTCTTACCCTGTCATTGGAAAGATGAAAAAGCAAAATGTGTCTGTCTTGCAGAAATGTTCAGGAGGTGGGTGCTGAGTGCTGTGGTGTTTGAACTGAAAGCTTTAGACGCTTCCCCATAAAATTCAAATGAATCTTCTCCATTCTCTTAGACTAAGAGCCACGTTCAAGTAAGAAACTCAACCATGGATTAATCATATTTTATTTTACTCTCAAATATGCATTTATGTTATGGTCAGAGCATCCCGGAGGGAGATGCTTTGTCCAAAACTTTTTAGGAACATTTGGAAAAACTGGAAGTGTTGTTGGAGCCCACTAGATGTCAGTGTCACCACAGTTTACTGCAGCTCTTGCTCACTGGGCTAGTAGGGTCGAGTGCCGGAGATGGATTGCCTTGGATCACGAAGATTGTGTGTGTAAGTTCTGTAATATTGTTACATAATGCCAGGAAACAGTTCCAGAAACAGTAGTGCAACCTGCTTATTCTGATTGTGTGGTGTAGTTCCTACGAAAGAACTTGGATGCAGCATCCATAGAAATACTTCAGGGAATGAGAAGACACTTGATAAGCAATCAAAAGGAAAAATGTCTGGAAAACAGACATTCACTGACCTACAAGCTACCTAAGAGAACTAATATCATTTAATAGTCCTTTTATGTCTGACTCTTTTCTGCAAAGAGATCTGTTTTCTAAAATGTAGCTTCTATTCCTGCCTTCGTATTACCTGAAATTGAAACATTTGTTACTGCTTGAGGAAGTTGAATTTTAGATCTGAAAATACATCCAATAATAAGGCTCATTAAGAAACACCACTGTGTAGAAATACAGAAACTCACAAGAAAAAATTGGACCCTAGATAAAGAACAGAACTTGTGTATTAAGTTTTTAAGTTACCTCTTGTTACGTAAAAGCTTTTCCTAGCTCCTATTTTATAGCTTTCATTAGCCTCCACTTAAGAACATTTTGTATGTTCTTATTTGCATATACTCTTGTAAATCTTATTCTGAAAGTACTTATACTCTCATTCTGGAAATACTGAGTGCATGAAAAAGAGCGTTGGTTTAAAAAGAGTATGGCCAGCAGGCCAAGGGAGGTGATCCTCCACCTCTACTCTGCCCCCATGAGGCTTCACCTGGAGT